GGGTTAGGGTTAGGGTTAGGTTAAGTAGTAAACCAGGCTTTCACTGCTCCACAAGCTCTCTGATAATGGGAACTACAATCATCAGAATACGATTCCCCCGAATAAAAACCCAGAATCCATTATCTGCTTCTTTGTGGATCCAGAACCCGACCGTGCCAAAGTCACGGCGCTCTGTTTGCTGTTCTGAATCTCTCCTCGTCTGCTGAAGAGACTGAGTGAACAGTTAGGTGAGTTTTGTGCGTGTTTCCAGCTGTCAGCAGCAGACTGGTTTCCATCTGCTCCGTCTGACTGTTGTGTAATTTCTGGCTCTCTGAGACTGCAGCTGGTTTCAGCTCAGAGCCCTGAACCACAAGCACGACTGGAATCCTCTGCTTTAAAGCTGGAAAACCTTCTTTTAGTCAGTCAGTCAGTCTGTGTGTCTGTCTGTCTGTGTGTCTGTCTGTGTGCTAACAGCCTGTTTAAACAGCTGGTTATTTCAGCTAACAGCAGCTTCACAACCCGCCCGGCCTGCTCAACCACTGAAGAACTCTGAGTGTGTGTGTGTGTGTGTGTGTGTGTGTGTTGGGATGCCTGTGCTGTGATGTCAGCGTTTCTGCCCGTACTCGGTGGTATGCAGGCTGTGTGTTCACCTAGACACACACACACATACACACACACACACACACACAATAAGATTAGAGTACAATCCAGTATCTGTGTCCACCATCTTGTCTGTGAGTGTGTGTGTGTGTGTTTGCTGTGTTCTTGCTGTGGTGGTGTGACTTTAAGCAGTGTTGACAGAGCAAACACACACTCCTCTGCCCTGTGTGTGTGTGTTACAGTAATGTGTTGTTACCTGGTTGCACTTTAACATATTTAGTTCCAGTGGCTGACTGAGGGGCTGCTGGCTGACACATTAAAGGTGTGTTCAGGATCAGATGGTTCCTGATTGTAATATTATTTCCAACTCTTAGTTGCATTCCTTTCATTTATTTAATGTTTCTTTCCTTGGAACAGATAGAGTTTACATAGAAAATAGCTTTCTAATTAACCCGATGTATCACAGCGTTTAGAGCTACAGCTAATGTCCGACGTCTGTCCCTAGAAGGTCTTTAAGATAACGTGAAGTTAAAGTGTATTTTACTTATTATAACTGTATTTAGCAACAGTTATTGTGCAGCCTTTGTTCAGTGAAACAGTTTTAGGACAGTGTGTTGTGTCTGAAATGATGTTCAGGTGGCTGTGTTGGCGTTCAGGACTGGGTATCGAACGTCAACACTTTTATGGCACCAACCAAATTGCGTCGATACTACAGAGTACAGAAAGATATCTTGTCACTCGGTACCACGAAGTAAAACTCACCAGGGTCAGTTCGCCCACGCAGCGGCCGCGAGCTGCTTCTCTGCACATACGTGTAGAACTGTGCTGTTTGTTAGTGAGCCGGCGTCGTCCTGCCCTCGCCACAGCTGACGTATCGCTGCCACCGTTTGTGGTTAATGTTCCTGTAACAGTTATTATAGTTTGTGTGTGGTCCAATACTGTACACATGTTGTGTTGTATTTCACTGTCCTTCACTTTCAGGTTGAGTGAAACAGTTTCTGCTCTCAGGTCTCTGAACAGCTTTGAAGTCAGTTATTGTACCATAATGTTCTAAAACCATTCAGGAGTATCGAGGTCGAGGTGTCAGTTCTGAGCGATACCCAGGCCCGCTGGCGTGGTCCGACACTTATCGGTGTCACATACCGGAGCCAGCTGATTGTGACTGTGAAAACAATGCTGCTGTGTCCTGAACGCATCCTGTTCCTGTTGTCATGACTAGGCTACATGCTAGGCTAATCTATGTTGAAAAGACTACCACGTTTTAAAGAAGGTTAAAAGATAAGAGACATATACATACATATATGTAGTC